AGCTGGAGGTGGCTGAGGAGCAACTCAGACAGGAGAGGGAAAGTGAAGAGAGGAGAAAGGAGGCAGAGAGGTTGGAAAAGGAGAGATTGGAGAAGGAGAGGATAGAAAAGGAAAAGATTGAGAAGGACAAGCTGGAAAAGGAAGCCAAGGAGAAAGCTGAGAGAGAAAGGTTAGCTCAAGAGAAGGCAGAAAAAGAGAGAAAGGAGATGGAGAGGCTTGCTAAAGAAAAGGCAGCTAGAGAAGAAAAGGAAAGAATGGACAAAGAGAGGGTGGAGAGGGAAAAGGCAGAGAGGGAGAAACAGGAGAAAGAAAGAGTGGAAAGCGAGAGGGCTGAAAAGGAAAGGCTTGAGAGGGAACGCATTGCCAAAGAAAGAGAGAGAACAGAGCGGGAGAAGGCAGAGAGGGAAAGATTAAAAAGGGAGAGACTAGAGAAAGAAAGGGTCGCCAAGGAAAGACTAGAGAAAGAAAGGGTCGCCAAGGAAAGACTAGAGAAAGAAAGGATCGCCAAGGAGAAGGAAAGACTAGAGAAAGAAAGGGCCAAGGAAGAAAGGAAAAGGAAAGACTAGAGAAAGAAAGGTCGCCAAGGAAAGACTAGAGAAAGAAAGGATCGCCAAGGAAAGACTAGAGAAAGAAAGGATCGCCAAGGAGAAGGAAAGACTAGAGAAAGAAAGGATCGCCAAGGAGAAGGAAAGACTAGAGAAAGAAAGGATCGCCAAGGAGAAGGAAAGACTAGAGAAAGAAAGGATCGCCAAGGAAAGACTAGAGAAAGAAAGGATCGCCAAGGAAAGACTAGAGAAAGAAAGGATCGCCAAGGAGAAGGAAAGACTAGAGAAAGAAAGGATCGCCAAGGAGAAGGAAAGACTAGAGAAAGAAAGGATCGCCAAGGAAAGACTAGAGAAAGAAAGGATCGCCAAGGAAAGACTAGAGAAAGAAAGGATCGCCAAGGAGAAGGAAAGACTAGAGAAAGAAAGGATCGCCAAGGAGAAGGAAAGACTAGAGAAAGAAAGGATCGCCAAGGAGAAGGAAAGACTAGAGAAAGAAAGGATCGCCAAGGAGAAGGAAAGACTAGAGAAAGAAAGGTCGCCAAGGAAAGACTAGAGAAAGAAAGGTCGCCAAGGAAAGACATGAGAAAGAAATAGACGACACAAGAGAAGACTAAAGAGAAAGAAAGAGAATCGCCAAGGAAAGGAAAGACAATAAGAAAGAAAGAAGAATACAAGACAAAGAGAAAAAGGAAAAAAGAACTAGATAGAAAGAAAAGAAAATCGCCAAGGAAAGGAAAGACTAGAGAAAGAAAGGATCGCCAAGGAAAGGAAGACTAGAGAAAAAAGACACAAACAGAGAAAAGACTAGAGAAAGAGAACACAAGAAAAGATCAAAGACGAGCAAAGAAGAGATCAGCCAAGAAAAAAGACTAGAGACAAAGAAAGGAATCGCCGGGAAGAAAGACTAGAGAAAGAAATGCCAAGGAAGGAAAGACTAGAGAAAGAAAGGATCGCCAAGATCGAAAGAAAAGGAAAGACGGATCGCCAAAGAAAAGGAAAGAAGAGAGAAGGATCGCCAGTGAAGGAGAGGAGAAAGAAAAGGAAAAGAGGAACGGATCGCCAAAGAAAAGGAAAGATTGGAGAGGGAGACAAAGGATCGCCAAAGAAAAGGAAAGAACTTGAGAAAGAGAAGATCGCCAAGGAGAAAGCAGAAAAAGAAAGACTGGAAGACAAAGGATCGCAGAAGAAATACAGACAAACAAAACAAAACAGAACAAACAAAAGACAGAACAACAAGAATATAGACAAAGAGAAGACAGAGATACAGACCAAAGAAAAGGAAAGATTAGAGAGGGAACGGATCGCCAAGGAGAAGGAAAGATTGGAGAAAGAAAGGATTGCGAAGGAGAAGGCGGAGAAGGAAAGATTGGAGAGACAAAGGATCGCCAAAGAAAAGGAACAACTTGAGAAAGAGAAGATCGCCAAGGAGAAAGCAGAAAAAGAAAGACTGGAAAGGGAACGGCTTGTTAAGGAAAGAGACAGACTCGCCAGAGAAAAGATAGACAAGGAAAGGATAGAGAAGGAGCGCTTAGCCAAAGAAAGGGCAAGAGTCGCACAGGATAAGGAGAAATTAGAGCGAGAAAGAGTAGAAAAAGAAACGACAGAGAGAAACGAGAGGGAGAGGATGGAACGGGAAAGACTGGAGAGGGCAGCGAAGATGAAGCTAGAGCGGGAGAAAACTGAAAAGGAGAAGATGGAGGTGGAGCGGCTGGCGAAAGAGGGCGTGGTGAGACAAGGAAATGGCTTAAAGAGACGAGTGCTACCGGAGAGGAAGCTGAACAGTTCGCAGGTGAAAAGTGAGATAACTGAGAGAGTGACCATGACGGCGGTCAGGAGAGAGAAGAGCGTCTTAGAAGAGAAGAAGAAAATGCCTCACGGCACAAAGTGATGACCTCACAAATGGTCATGGCTCTGATTTGCCGGCCTCACCTCCCATATTCGGGAAACGGATGAAAAGCTACTCGGTGGGGTTTGAAGGTCTTGTAACCACCCAGCAAAGACGACGCTGAACACAAGTCTGAACACACTTTGCAATCCAGGCAGTTGTTTTGAGTCTCCTTTGTAAATTAAATAAATACAAACGGACAATCTGATTAAAAACCCCTCTTCAAGTTTTATCCCCAACAGAGGTTTAAAATGTTTTCCCTCCAACGTGTTCTGCTTCTGTTGCTCCTTCACAAAGTTACAGGACATTACACCTTCATTAAGGGCTCAAACCAGAGTCTTCAGTCTTAACTGTGATACAGACACCACACAGCTGGAACTGTGGTGAACTAGAAATTAGTATTTCAAGCCAAACCACTCACACATGACTGTATTTGATGCACAGAAAGCAGTAGCGTGGCTTCAGGGCAAATTCACCATTAATCTACAGATGCGGCCCACAGATTGTTTCCCTTGTGTTACTGCTGCTCTTTCAGTGCTGCAGACCTCTTCAAACAGGCCGATTTTCAAAAGGCCAGTTTCATGAGATTTATGTTGTCTTTGTTTTTCTCATTTTTATGAGACTTTGGTTGATGATGTGACATTTATGGTTTTTCTTATCATGTTTTTTGCTCAAAGGATGAGCGCCAGTATAAGGCGTCTGAATTGTAAGTGTTGAGCTTTAGTTCAAAGTCATGTAGTGGATCTAAGTGGTGAAGGATGTTCGAGGACACCGGCTTTTAAAATAACCTGTAATAACTGTTGTGTAGTGACGAAGCATCAGGAAGTCACGTGTCGTGAGCTGAATAAAGAAACTTTCACAGCCTCTGAAATTATTTTGTTTTTCCTCCAAAATGTGAGAAAATGTTTGCTGAATAAATCCCGCTCATCACATTAAGATGGTTTCTTTCTCGTGGTTTAATAAAAATGAAAAAGCTACAATATGAGTTCATTTTTAGAGACACAAAGACTCGTGTAATTTTTTTAAACCCTGTTTGTTTCATTACCTCTCTCTGTTTAATGGCAGTAGAAAGCAAGCTGTTTGACTTATTCTCACTTGCTTGATTATCAATAACGAAACAAACAAATGTCACATTTCATTTCATTGCTGCTTTGCGGGGTGGCCGGTTAGCTCAGCTGGTTAGAGCGTGGTGCTAATAACGCCGAGGTCACGGGGTCGACCCCTGTACGGGCCAAAGTTTCATGTCTTTTATGCCGACTAGGTTTGTGTTGTTATGGATGAACATGTAGCATCTTGCTAACCAACCTACTGATGCTTCTGTAAAGCTGTGTCTCCTTCCAGCACCAAAAAAACAACATGGAGGTGAGCTGGACAAATAGGTCTGACTCTGACAAGGTCACAGGTTTGACTCCCATATAGGCAAAGTGGAGAGCTTTTACTTGTTCTCTGTGCTTCCTTTCCTGTTGGTTAAAGCCTCTTTTGTGTAAGCTATTGTTAGCTCTGTGGGATAGAGCGTGGTGCTAGTAATGGCAATGTTATGGGTTCAGTCCCTACACAGAGCAGGTGTATGTGCTATTTAAAGGCAGTGGAGGTGGTCTCAGGTTGGGCAGGAGGCTGGAGTCGGGTTATCAAGTGCATCCAGAGAATTTGTGGAAGCATCACACTTATTTCTTTCATCAAAGCTGGAGCTCAGACTTCTTGGATGGTCTGTTAGTACAATAACCTCACTGCAGCACAGCATGTTATTGGTCAGGTAGCGTCATTAAAAGGCTCCAAGAGCATCAACATGGTCCAAAAGTCCACTTCAGGGTCTTCGATTAGCTGAGGTGAAGCCTTGCAGACCCTGGAGGTCTCTGCTTAGTGCAGAGAGGGTTTTTTTTCCATAACCAAAATACATGCAAACATCCCCAACAGTCCAACAGCAAAGCCTGTTGAGCATTAACAACGAGGGCAGAATCCCTCTTCCTCTGCTCAGTGCTATCTCGAGCCACCACTGCTTCCTTCTGTGCTCACCGTGCGCTTGCTGCTTCGATCCTATCAGCTCAGATTTCCTTCCACAGGAAGATTATCGGGGTGCTGGCGCTCCCGAGCTCCCTGCTGCTGTCGGTTAAACGTCTTAAAAACGAAACCCCGCTTTTTGTTTTTAAAGGCACTGTCACACTTGGCTGTAAACCAAATCAGGTTTATATAAAGTTCACACAATTCAGAGCTTCCTCCTTCTGCTATTTCCCATCTTCTTCTCTGAGTGCTGCAGTCTGGTTTTTATGTATGCTACTCTCAAAGGGACGAGAACCATTTTTCCTTAAGTTCCCCATGTGTACATATCTACTTTTTCACACCAGTCGTCCCTCGTTGTTGGCCTTAAATCAGAAATACAGAGATTTTTAAAAGCTTATTATGGTCTAAACGAGTCTTTAAAGCTGATTTGTAAACAGTTATTTAACATTTCATTAGATCTGGAAGGAAAGGCGCTGTTTTACGAGAGCTCGCTTTACGTTTAATTGTCAAATAAAAAGCTGTAAATAACTTGGCGTGGTCTTTAAAACATTTATATCCTGAACACTGAACAGGACTGAAAGAAGCAAAGAGGCTGCATGTAGGAGACACACCTGAGAAGCAAACAGGTAAGTTTACACGCACACACACACAGACACACACGCACGCACGCACACACAGACCCACACACACACCCTCTGGCTCTGCTGACTCTCTTCTGATACCTGAGAAAACCTCCTGGGAGCTGACCTGATTCCCACCTGTGGATTTGGACCTGCGAGCGTCTCCGTGTCCTGCCAACAAAGCCTGACCGGCTTCACACTGAAGTTCTATATCAGTTCTAGCCTGGAGCTCCTCCACACTGGGAGCTGCCCAGTACAACCAGTCTGCTAGATCTTTAATCTAACTTTTGCACTTAGATGCTCTCGTTTTGGTTTTTGGTTCCTTAAATGCAGAAATTTTGAAGGAAATATTGAATGAAAGCCACACTTTGTATAAGTTTATCTTTAATTATTTTACTACACTATTTAATGAATAATTATGCCTTTTTTTTTACAGCCAGTGCAGTGCTTTTTGTATTTTTGTTTAATAGGTTTCTTGTATTCACAGCCATTAGAGTCTGAGTGATTCGGTTTAAGTCATTTTGTCTTGTCAGCTCTACACTGCTGTGGCCGGTTAGCTCAGCAGGTTAGAGCGTGGTGCTAATAACGCCAAGGTCACGGGTTCGACCCCCGTACAGGCCAAATTCATGACTGGCAATAATTATGTTTCTGAAGTCAAATGTTTATCTCAGACGCCGTGGTAAACACTTTCCTAAAACAGCTTATGTGGAGATAGAGGCTTTTATTGTGAAAGGCGCAAACAGGATGAAGCTGATTTCACACTTGCATGGAACAAAAACGGTTTCCTGTGCAGACTGGACGACAGGACAAACAGACACTTCTGCTATTTCTTATTTTTTCTCCACTTCAAAGTCGGAAAAAACTTCAAACGTAACAATTTTTATAAATCTGTGAGAATTAAAAATTGTACAGAGTTAAATTGTATCAAAATGGAAGTCAGAAAGCATCAACAAACTCTTGTTTTTCCTTTAAAAACACATTTGTTCAACTTAGTTTTCAACGTTTTTCACCTTTTTGCTCCATCTTGTGGTACAAACTGGTATTACATGGAAGTACAGCCTGGCACTAGTTCAACTTCAGTAGATAACTCTTTACTATAATACATGCATGCTGTTTATGGCTTAGTTAAACATTAATTTACAAAAGTACCTCTAAAACCAGTAAATGAGTTTAATGGATAAATAAATCTGCTTCCGGTGTTTTTGGTGACGCTCAGTCCTGTGCTGTCCTGCCTCTGTGTGTCGGCCCTGCGACAGACTGGCGAGCTGTCCAGGATGTACCCGCCTCTCGCCCTATGACAGCTGCGATAAGCTCCAGCAACCCTGATAAGCGGAAGCGCGTCTATTTAATGCTTGACTAAATAGAACCTGACTTGAAATAAATGCTCTTAAACATCATAGTCCTGCCGTTTGTGATGCTCAGCGGCTTCCTTACCTGGATTCTAACCTGGATTTGAAAGGATGGAGGAGGATGTTGGACTTGTGACGGGTGTTCAGAATATAATCACTGTCTGCTTTTACCTGTCATAAATCACACATGATGTTTACACTGAGCATGTTTTAATCTTACTTCAGTCATTCCTCTTTTTATCCTGTAAACTTTAAGTGTTAAAAACTGAAGAAACCATCAAGCCTGAAACAGCCAATCAGCAAGCTGCAGAGCCGCGAGACGTCGAGCCGACAGAGGCCGCGCCATCCGTGACTCCGCCCAGACAGAGCGAATCAGGTACGCGTGAGCAAGTCTGCTGAATGAAGGAAAAATTCAGTCCAGTCACCTGAAGGAGAAATAAGTTTGGGAGCAGCAGATCAGTCATACAAAGTGTTTGAGCTGGTGATAGAATAAAATAAGGTTTAAGGTCCAGACCTGCAGGTCTCTGAAGAGCTTAAGGCCGCCCGAGTCGTTTGTCACATGAGGACTAACCTGACTGACAGAGCGACAAACACAAAATATAAAAGCATGTAGTCGACTCCACGTGGCTGAAAGTGAAGCTGCTCTGTGTGTGGCCGCGTCGTATCCACAGCACCTGTATGAGTCTGAATGCTCACGTTACCTGCTGCCCCACACACCTGTGAGGTCACTGATTGGCTCCCTCACCTGTTGATGTCATGATGGTAACATTATGGCTTCTTTCTGTGTGTGTGTGTGTGTGTGTGTGTGTGTGTGTGTGTGTGTGTGTGTGTGGTTGGTCCAGCTTCTGGATCTCAGGATGTGGAGTCTGAAATCCAAGGTTGGTGCTGCTGCTGCTGCTGCATGCCTCCACCTTCTCCTTCTGCCTCTGGATGATGACATGTTCACGCCTGCATCTGTATTTCTGTTTACATTTCACACGTTAATATGAAGAGCAAAAACACAGCAGTTATCACTGACTGACACCATTTTCTGTTGAATATTTGCTTTTTGTGTCACTTTCCTGGATTGTAGCTTTTAAAAAGATGTAATCAAACAAAGCTCTGAGTGCATCAGTGGAGCGCTGCTCCCTGTGCAGCTTTGAAGCACACGCAGAAGTTTATTAGTGAGCTCTGTGACTTCAGTCCTCCAGAGGTTTTTAAATAATGTGTTCAGCATTGAAGGAGCAGGCCGGCCTAACAGAACCTAAAACCCGACTTTTAGATGGCAGTTATGGCAGTGATGGTTATCTTCTGTGTCTCTGCTTCAGGCACTGAGCAGGTGTTTAGCCGATCATTAGACCCACAGTGAATAGAATGAGCTGTGCTTAAGTCAGAGACATGAGAGGAACAGAAAGAGTCTTTGTTTTGCTGCTGTTTAATGACTGCTGCACGTTACAGCTCTGAAACTTAAACCTGCCACGTTTAAACATTAACAGCCGCCCAGTATCAGGGCTGGCTGCAGCCTGATGCAGCCTGCAGCGCTGTAACTGTCGTTCATGTTAGGCTCTCCTGGGCAGACTCTGTATCGAAGTTAAGGCGGACTGCAAATGAGAGATCGATGAAAATGTCACACTTTGTTGTTTTTTAAGCCAAACTCTGGAGATTTAATCGGCTCCAGACCAGGATATCCACCCAGCAGGTTAAAAGAGCCGCCACACACCTGCCACCCATTCATCTTGTTGTTCGTGACCTCGTAGCTGCTACAGTCCAGATGTGGCAGGTCGCCCTCTGCTGGAGGAGTGAAGGGACGCTGCATCGCTGCTCTGCTTCTTCTTCTCTGCATTTATTCCTTCAGTGCAATGCATGATGGGACGCCGTGCTTGGGTAGTGAGCTTCTGTCCTGTTCGTTTCATCAGGCATGAGGCTTGTTTCATATTTGGAGTTTATTAAGACTACAGTGGAGCGAGTGACTTCAGACAGCTCACACTTCTGCCTCTCCCACACATCTTTGTAACTGTGTGTGTGTGTGTGTGTGTGTGCGTGTGTGTGTCTGTGTGCGTGTGTGTGTGTGTGTGTGTCTGTGTGCTTTAACTCATTTTACTGATTCTCCACCTCTAGCTGCTGTGCCCCTCCCTCCGCCAGCAGAGGACAGCTTTGTACCAGGTCAGTTAAACAACCAGGCGGGTTTAAAAAAAGGTTTCTTATTCTTCTCGAGCGGGTGGAGGTTTAAAGATGGAGGTGAAGGGGAGGATATATGGGACAGATGGTGATGAAGATGATGGAGCTTGTGTATGGAGGTCCTTCAAAAATGCCCCGAAATTGAAAACTGTCCTTTTTCCTCAAACTAACTGACAGCACGTGGAGACCCAGAAATGAGATGATTGATAAACTGAGAGGATCGATTAGTGAATCGTGTCCAGATTAAGGAACAGAGCGAATCTGTTGTCAGATCTTTAAACTCGTGAACGAATCATTTTGAGTTAAAGCAGCTGAAACATCAAAAGTTTACTTATTAAACTTCATAATGAAGGAAAGTGGGATTGATCTAAACGAGTACGTTTCATCGGCCAGCTTACATAAATGTGACATTTCACTCTGTACTTACTTTCCTGGATGTAATTAGATTACTTAAAGTATTTTGGGCGTGTGCTCACACGCGTGTGACCACGTGATCACGAACAATCCTAGTGACGTCTGTGTCTTTGTTTGTCGTAGATGATCCTCGGGAAAGCATCAGTCCTTACGGTGAGCGGCCTCTGTCTCTCTGTGATGTCACTAAACGTTACTTCCTGTTAATCGCTCGTTTTCTCGTCCTCTTCTTCAGGCGATGAAGCCAACACGATTGACACCACTGGAGGTGAGACAGCAGCATGTGAGGGCAGAAACCACGATGGTTGGAAGTTTGTGGTAAAAGATAAAGACGATGATGATGGTGGTTTTGTTTCCTGTTGCAGTTCTGCTGGCCGAGCGTCAGACTGAGGAGAGCTCCGGTGAGTCAGGCTCAGATTACTGCTTCTACTCATATGTGCATGTTTTTAGCGTTCAGCCTCTTCTCATGTGTGCTGATGTTCCTCCGTGTGGTGAGGATGTTGTTTCAGGGAGGCCCGATGGAGCCGTCCTGCTTTACTCTGATTGTTTGATTCCTCAAAGTGTCTCCAAGACGGAGATCTCAGAGATCCCTGTATGAAAGAATCTGTGCGAGATCGAGTTTGATATCTTCTCTTTGATAGGAAGTATTGTCTGTAATAAGCGATCCGTTATTTAATGTCATGAAATGAGATTAACGTGTTTGTCCACAGCTCTGACACTGTGGAGTGTGTCATGCGTGAATCTGAATCACTGACTTTCTGTCCTTCAGTGGAGTTTGCAGAATACGTGACGAGCTCCAAGCTGACACAGGAAGCAGGTATCTGCAGCACAGGCTTCAGCCTGAAACACTCACTACAGGTTATTTTTACTCTGATAGACGATGTTGTTTTCACACACACCACTGAGTGTTTTGCTTGACTGTGACCCACATTTCCCGTATGTCTGGGGTAAAAACACCTACGTGTTTTTCTCTTTTGCATCTGGCACAAACTCTCTGCATCTCATGAGCAGCTTTTCCTCTTTCTGGGCCAACACATTTGTCAGTGACACAGCTGAGCTGAAGTGGCCCAGATGAAGACTCAGTGTGTCTGCAGCCGCTTTCTGTATTTAATCAGCATCTGAATAATTGGCCAAATTAAACAAAGCGTCTCTTCAAACAGACGCAGTGAAGGAGCTGGATGTTACACATCATGACCAGTATGGGGCTTGAACCCACGACCGTGGCGTTATTAGCACCACACGCTAACCAGCTGAGCTAACTGGCCACTGCTCTGTGCTCGAACACTACCTGTGGAAATATCCAGTGTGACTGTTTAACCTGATGACATGAAGCTGTTCACCGATCGGGTCGTTTATCAGAATCAGGATACTTTATTGATCCCAGAGGACGTGATGTGGTCGCAGTCGCTCCAGGACAGTCGGAGCAGTAACGGACTCAACTAATAGTTTCGTTAAAGTTACAAAATATATACAAATAGCTCAATTATAAATATCCAGAATATTACAGAGATTAAATATATATGATTAACATTTCACTCTATTACTGGCCTTGTTGATCAGTTTATTCAGTCTGTTGGCATCTGCGACCCTCAACCTGCGGCCCCAGCATGCAACACAGCGGTCCCCAACCCCCGGGTCACGGACTGAGACCGGGCCGTGAGAGCTGATCCGGGTATAAAATTTATGGTTTTTATGGTTTCCGTTGTTAACTCGGTTTCCCCGGGTCTTTTCCCGTGTTGTAGTCATGCGTCTTATTTTGAAAGAAATATTTACGTGTTACCATAGCGACCAGAGAGCATTAAGGGGCAGAGAGGAGGATGTTCCTCTCATGTTGGTGCATTTCAGGAGGACGCTACTAATAAAGTTACACAGTGAATTCATGTTTATTATTATCTTTACAAAATACCAGGTTCTGTCGTATCGTTTTATTTAGTTGTATTTATCCGCCGCACCTTAGTGGTTGGTCTGTGAAAATATTGTCAGACATTAAACCATCCGTGGAGCAAAAAAGGTCGGGAACCGCTGACATCGAGGATAGCATTGGCCACAACAGACTCATAGAAAATCCTGAGCTTTGTCCGACAGATGCTGAAGGACCTCAGCCGCCTCAGAAAATACAGACGACTCAGTAACCCAGTCCAGTTTAATCCGAGGGATTTATACTCCTGCAAATGTCACATGGTCCTCCTAAAGCTCACAAATTCATAAACAAATTTGTCCTGAAACTGTGTCAGCTGGGATAGACTCCAGCCTCTGCAACCCTGAACTGGATGGATGGATGGATGGATGGATGGAGGGTGGGTGGATGGAGGGTGGATGGAGGGTGGTTTGATGGATGGATGGATGGATGGATGGA